ATAAATTAGTTGGTAAGTAAATTGTAACCAAGAAGCAAATATTTCTAAGGCCTTGGAAAGAAATGCCCTTTTGATAGCCACTGTTCTCTTAAAAGATCCTAAATCTTACTAATATTATAAATGCAAATGTTTGGAAGAATGTTTATTTGAAGATATCTCCAAAACGCCTGCATGGATCTCACTGTAATTTGGCATAGATGTATAACCTGGAAGAACATATGGACTACTAATTAAGTTTTTCTTTAATTCCGTGCATACGGAGTCATGGGCGATAGCTATAATAATAATGGTAATAATTTAAAGACTTTTTACTAGAAAAACAAAAGATGGATGTTCCTCTTTGTGTCTTCTATTCATCGTTAAAGAATCTAAATTCAATGATTTCTTTCCAGATTTTAAAAACAAAAAGACTGTGTTCTATATCGGTGGATTCTTCGACAGCGCTTATTTTCCGTTCAGTCAAGCAATAGGAACTGTCTACTCGAAACGCGGCTACAACGTTCTGTTGTCAGAAACCTTCCAGTTTCTAACATACATATACCCCAAGTAAGTGTAATCTTTTAACTATGGGTAGCGATAGTGGTATAGTGTTGTCTCTGTTTTATCAAAGAGAATGAAAGGGATAACTATAAAACCTTTAAAGTTAAAACGTTAACTTATTTTTCAAGGTTAAAATTGTGTTTCATCACAATCAAAATGTCACTAATGTTTCATTATTTTGTAGAATCTATATTATCATTGTAGTGTATGCATAAACGTAGTGTTGTTGTCTCGAGTGTACACGCCATAAGTACATGCCGGGGAGAGGGGACGTCAGTCGATGTCAGACCTTTGGACCGGCAACATGTGTCGGTACGTGAACGAGCCAAATATAACGCAACGAATGCTACAATAATTATCTGTACCAAAGCTATAATTGTATTATAAGATCTTTGTACAGTTTTTGCATACAATAGCATACCTTTGCCTTATTCTCGATACAAGTCTCTGTTCAATCTTTTTAAAAGATATGCATTTTAGGTACTGTGATCGTGTCTTTAACCTTTCTTTCGTTTATAAGACCTTTTGTTTATAGATAATCTTTATTTCATTTAACTAAGAGCGTCGGTGGCTCAGTGGTCAAGCACTTGACTTGCAATCTGCAGGTCCTGGGTTCGAATCCCGCCATGTACCAATGCGTTTTTCAATTTCCGATTTACATATGTACATTTATCCGAGGTTCTTACGGTGAAGGAAAACTTATGTGGGATTTCAACTAACCCGCACTTGGCCAGCGTGGTTGACTATGGCCTAATCACCCTTAACTTAGAGTAGGCTCCGAGCCCCTCAGTGGGGACGTACAGTGAGCTAATGATGATGATGATGATTGAAATTTCCTGTTATCTCTTGTACCATTCCAACTAAGCTCTGTGCTTGTGCTAGAACATTATTTCCGAAAATATTCGAATAGCGGGATTGGAACCCTCCAGCTCGTAATCGGAAATCCGTACCCTAAACCTGGCTATTAACGCTTTACCGTAGATGTTTGAGAAATCTTCGTTTAAAACATATTCTTATCTCTGTTTTGGTCTAATGAAAAGAATGACGATATGTTTAATACAGAGAATTTCATCTCAGAAACCAGATAATTCTTGACTGTCTTTTTTAACTTTTTGTTTTTTTTTTCCAGATCAGTAAGACTGTCAAAAGTGATCGGCGATAAGATTGGTGAATTATTAGTAAATTTGCAACATTTAGGTTTGAAAGCGAATGATTTAGAAATTGTTGGAATGAGTATAGGAGCACACATAGCTGGATACGCATCTAAATATTA